TATATATATGTATATGTATATAATTGTAATAAATAAGAAAACTCTATAGGCCAATTTTGACTCTGGTTAAATAAATAAAAAAATAAGTCAATCTGTTACCCAAACATCTTTCTACAGTCGTCGCCTATTGACCTGTGAAGGGAAGGCGGAGGAAGAGTGAAAACCTAAAACCGAGGGGGGGTTCGGGATGTGGAGGAGACCGGCTTTATTCAGTTATTGGATTCCTTCGCACTTCTGCAAAGCATTCAGCAACTCCATCGATCTTCACTGTCACAATCTCCATCAACAGGTCAGTGTCTCCATCCATTTTTTTCCTTTCAAAGCGGAAATGCAATATTTCCTCCAGTCTTGTTTTCAGAACCTCACTCAGAGCATGGTCGATGAAATCAGTTCACAATGAGTTGTATTAATCAGTCGATTTTGATGTATCGACCAGTCAGCTTCATGTGAATAGTTCTATGGAATCTGCTAAATTTTAATTGTTTTGGGCGTCATATAGTCGAATCAGTTATAGCTTCCTTTGTAATCCCTGATCTAAACTCTCGTACCTGGTTATCTGTGAAGTTTAATTACATCAATATCAATGCTTCGATGGTTTGTTTGACGTGGCAGCGTATCTCTCCCCCACGCGCTCCTTTTGGAGTTATTTCTCATGCTGGGCTGCTGCTGCTGTGCTCTACAGGCGTGGCAAAATTGTGCTAATTGATGCCTTAAGAGCTAACACGAAAGCAGAATTTATTAGATACTATAAATTCTTATTTTGTTATCGGTCTCATGGGTATTAAAACCTGGAAATTATTTCGATGTCAACATCTTTAGTTCGAGTAAGCTATTTGGATACAAGTAAGAGGATTTAAGGGACTTGTAATTCTTAGGAATTGATTGATCAACAAGTTTAGATCACAAGTAATTGATTAATCTTAATAGATATTATTTAGGTTTAATTATATGATTTAGCACTTAGTAATCCTGGTTAGGAATTAGCTGTGGTGTAATTTTAAATTAAGGGTCAATGACTATTAGAGTTTAATTTAGTCAATAAATTTTAGTTAATTAAAAGGCGAGTTACTAATAAAACTATAATGTACTCTAAACTGTATCAAATAATTTAAATATTAATTGAACTAAATTATCAGTAATTAATAAAAACCTTTGGTGATAACTAAAGGTATAATAAGGATCTATTAATACTTACTGGTACTGTAAACTATTTTGTAAATAAATTAAGCATTACTTTAGCTTTTAATGATAAAAAATTAAAATATCATAACGTTTAAGCACTTATAATTTTATGATAGGATTTTTTTTAAACGAGTTTGTTCTTAGATAGACTTTAATTAGATTAATTTGCGCTTCAATAGACTAGGAGAGAATGACATACTTAGACTTGGTTATGTTATATATTACTATTGATTGATTAAATACTTGATTTGTCAATTTGTAGATTAATAATGGTTTACTATTAAGTATCAATTATATTGATTAAAACAGATGTTGGATACCTAATTGAAAGTTCAACATAAATTTCTACATCCCATTGGCTTAAATCCATACTCTTTTTCTTTGAAGAATTTAGTAAATTAAGGATATAAGGTTAAATTTGCTGACTAATTTGTTATCTTAACTTTCTAAATCCAGGATTCAAGTATTCCACAAAAAATTGCTTAATGGGATTTAGGCTAAATTTTGATTAAATAGGAAACCAAACAACCCTTGTGTTTATTGTTTTGGTGATGTCAATAGTTTCAGCTTTGTTTTGGTTGAAACACATCTCATCCTAGTTGATTTTTTATTATTTTATTGAATAGTGTTTGGTTTCATTATCTTATGTTGGAGTGTTTTGATTGAAAGGCTAGCAGGTGTGTTTAAACAAAAAACTGCAAAATTGCAGCAAGTAGTGAGGTGGTGATAGAGTTATGCATATGAGTGTAAAGTCTAACTCAGCAATAAACTAGTGCAATTCTTCTTAAGTATACTAATTCTTGGTTAGGTGAAGGCGTTGAAACTATTTTCTTGTAGAGCATATGTGGAAGAATCAGTGGTGGAATGAACCTTGGTTTTCCTGTAAGAGAGTTCGGCTATGGAAGGAGTTTGTGGGTATCTTGAATGTGGAGTGATATGGAAGGATTTGGAGGAGAGTTTGATTTGACAACTCAAGTAATTTGAATGCTATACAGTTAGAAGAACTCTAATAGAGCATTGGGCATCTTAGATTTGTTTTTTAGCTTTAACATCAAATGTGGTATAGCCAATTGATAAAACCAACTATTCAGAAGCTTGAATTAATAGAAACGTCACTTTATTGATGATATTCTAGCTACACTTTCGTAGCTGCATTTGAAAGCGCCAATTATGTGATTATTTGAGCTAGTTGAGTGCAAGTTTAGCTAGGCTAATGGAATCCCAAGGAACAGCGGGGGGGCACATCTCCCTACCTAGAGTTTTTTCTCTCCTTCTGTCATGAAGAGATCAATTGGATTCAAATGAAATCAATCACCAAATGTAAGACATAAAGAGATCAATTGGATTCCAATGAATTCAATCACCAAACGTAAGCCTTGATTGATATCAAGTTGATAACAAAAATTAGAGGCATGAAAGCTAGAAATTGAAATGAGTGGAGGAACTTAGTGGATACATAAGGAAGAGAGTAAGAAAGAACCTAATAATGCATATGGATACAGTCTTGCATCTACATTTTTTAGTTTCACCTTGCATTGCTAGATAAATTCAACAAGCGCCAAATGCAGGATGTCTTATTGTATACGGTCAACCAAAAAATTAAAATTTCATATGGAATCCATACAACAAGAACAACAACAAGAACAACAACAAGAACAACAACAAGAACAACAAGAACAACAACAACAACAAGAACAACAACAACAAGAACAACAAGAACAACAAGAACAACAA